ACCCACAGAACCATGAAAACATCATTTATGGCGATTTCTGTCATGTAATGCACATATGTTGCTTGTGTATAATACACAGCTCAGGCACTGAAGCTAATGGGGCTATGTTGTTGGTATATTGTACAGATCAAAATATAAAGTATAGCATCTGTATATGTAATGGACTACATCCACTTGGAGGAGTGGACCATCCGGTAAACATAGCTCCAGTACATGTGTGCTGAATTTTCTATGTATATGGGTGACCTCTCTCAACACGTGTCCTTACTCTCGTTTTTGCTTGTTGTAGCAGCGCTGTAGCGCTGCACAGCAAAAACGCATAAAACACATATTGGCAAAAGGCAGTATGTGTATGTCTGTGTTTTCGCACCTTTTGTCACCTACTTTCAATTCGGGAGCTAGAAAAGCCAGAAAGCTAAAACTCTGGGAGTGTGTGCCCACCCTTGTGTGACTTTCTCGTTTTAAAATTATCTGAGTGCACCTGGGTCCTACGGGTGCACGCCAAAAAAAATATGCTAACTTTGAGGTGGAAAAGCTTCCCCGGAACAAAAAAGCTGGAATGCTGAAATTTTAAGGGGATATTCCCCATCCATGTACATTTAGTGATTTAAAATCTAGACTCAAGTGCGCGTGGTTTTCACGTACAGGCATGCGAAATTTTCGGCGGGAAAATTGCTAAGTCGGAAAACAGAAAAGCTGGGCAGCTGAAATTTTGGGGGAATGTTCCCTATTCAAGTACAATTCAGAGTTTTCAAATTCATCTGAAAAAAAGTTTGGTTCCTACATACGGACGGTCAAAGTTTTAGCGGATAAACTGCTTATTGAACAATCAGGTCATTTTCATAGAACTGCTTATTGAACAGCTAGGCCATTTTCAACGAGAAATTGTTCATTTTCCTTTATGCAAAATTTGCCATGATTTACGCTAGTGAGATCACAAGGCATGTGGAAAGCGACAGCCATTCATGCAGTTAGCGATCTGATTGTTTCAAGCTTGCAAAAACACAAGGTCGCGTCAGCAAGCCTGGGGCGTTCCAGACTGGGTCAATTTATAGACAGTAGATACCTGCCTTCGGACTTCCATCTCTGGCTAGAAATTTGATGGTGCTCAGCTATGAAATTGGTATATGACTAACCTATCTGTGTCCGCCTCCAACTTAGTCCGCAGCTCCTGCTCCAGCCCACTTCGTTAATTTCTCCAGTTAGTTGGTAGTTAAGTAATAAAAAAAATCTCAGCTTTCTTCTGTGTAAGTCATAAAGACAGAAAACCATCGGTAGCATGGCCAGAAAAAGTGGCCCGAGTGCCAATTTTGTCGGCCATATCAAGCACCCTGTCAACCCTCTATCTATGCCTAACTATTGTGAAAATTTTATAAAGTTTTAGCTCGGGCTCTCATTTTTGGCACAAAACCTTTTACTCAAATTCATATAGGAATGTTTATATTCTAGGAGTTATTATATTTCACCAAAGTATACCCGCAAAATTATTAGAAATCCGTAACCTCGTTGATCCTGATGGCGTCGACAAGGAACTATAGCCAAGTTGTAAGTTTTTGCCGTTCATGTTCCTTGTCTGCACCTTGCTCACCTTATCCGCAAAAATAAGACTGCTAACGGTTTCCTGGATAGCAGACATGTCTGGAGCGAGCTGCACAATCAGCAGCGTTTTGCTCTCTCCATCTACAAAAAAGTGCTCTCAAGGATGTTTCTGAAAAAATCATTTATTATAAAAAGCAGGGATGCTTATCACGCTTTTAGAAGTAACTGTTAGTTCTGTGTAAATAGTAGTGAAGCAAGTAACGCAGTTACTCAAGCAGTCTTCTAGTAGACGTGTCAGCTGACAATTTCGGAATGGAATGTGTTGCTGTCGTTGACGAAGTGCATTGACAACGTTGCCAAGCTCCGACAGTGACCGGTTGATGAACTGGGCTTCCTTGAGCTGTTGACCTGTGGCACCGGACTGACTGACTCGTTCCGAACCAGCCAAATCCACTAGATTTAGGCGGCCTGAAATCTACTTAGTGTGGACCATATCGCCTTTATGCAGAATTATCAGGAATTTTAAGTAAAGGTGCAGGATTGTATAGATTATCGTTACGAAGTCTCTAATGCAGGCGAGATGACGTGAGATGACAAGCACAGACACGCAAGAAAGTCCCATTCGTTTTAGACTTCTTGCCTTCAGGCTGTATCTGCCATCTTCAGTCGAAATCACACTAATTATTTTCGTGTGGAGGAAATGAATTTATCAAGACATAAGTGAAGTCCTTAAATACACAAAAGTTTGGGATTTGAGCAACAAAAAAGATACTTTCTGAGACAGCGCCGGTTGTGCGATTAACAGCAAGAACATGAACTCGAACAATGGCGTGCGAACGGCTCGAGTGGTCATTTAAGTCGGTCGCTGTGCTTGCCTAAAAAAATTGAACCGTTTGGGCGCAAAATCTAAGTTCTCTTTATGGGGGTCTTTAATTCACTGATCGAACATGTAATGCACTTTTTTTTTGTTTTTATAATGCGAAAAGACAAAACCTAAGACTGTCGCCGGCTTAATTCCAAGCGACTCCCTTGCCGGAGAATCGCCATTTTTTATGCTGTTGTTAAAGTGCTACCATTTGAGAAACTTTTGAGTAGCCTCATTTTTCGCAGAAAATGAGATATGGAAACCACTTGACTTTCGGCTGATTATAAAAAAGGGAAAAAAACAAGATTCAGCAAAGTCTGGATAAGGGAAGAAAATCCGCTAAGATTTAGAACGGGAGTATAAAATCTCGCAAAGTAATATTGGAATAGAAGGTTAACGGATAAAATATTGCTAGTTTGGAATTACCCGATTAAGTCGACCTCTTTCCAGCACTTCTTGTACTTCTTGCAGAGTATTTACGCTGAATGAAAGCAGGCCTGGAATTTCCAAAGCACCAGTGTCTCCTATTCGTATAGATAGACTGTTCTTGTTTTTCGATAACAAATCCCTGCAAATTTAAAGAAAAGTAATGAAAGATCAGATACAAATTCAAAATAAGTAAAAGAATTAAAATTCCTAGTTTAGCTGCAAAATTTTTCCCACTGCAATGACTTTTTGTGCATTGTTGCACATTTTGTGCAAACGCAAGACGCATATATGTGAATGTGTTCGCAGTACTTTCAATTCAGCAATCAGTGAAGCTAGGAAGTTGAAATTTTTGGAGCGTGTTCCCACCTCGCGTGCAATGCTCCACTTTAAAATCGTCGTTCACTTACACTTGGGCTTTTAATGAAAAAATTTTTCAAGATGTAAAAGGTATCAAAATGAAAATTGTCATAACATGAAAAACATTTTCTAAAAGTGTAGAATAAAGCAACCGAATTTTTGCATTATAAATTTCCAACATCGATACGGAAATTGTATAGTCAAAATCGTTTGATCGTTCTTCCGCTGTTCGAAACAGGCAAAGAATCGAGCGCTGATAAACACCCGGATCATCTACCGGCCCCTAAAACATATCTGCTCATTCCGTTGCAATTATCGTTAGGTGACGCCTACGACAAAGAAAACGTCTACTTGGAGGAAGTTCAAAGAGACGCTTGGTGCTCATGTTGAAAATGGAACTGTGCAGCAATTCAATCAGTAATAATTCAAAAGCTAGTTCACCAGCTGTGCGGATGTCAAATTAAAAGAAAAAAATCACAGGGGATCAGTACTACATCAGCGGTTCCCATGCAAGCGATTCTGACGTCGTTTTTGTCCCCTGAAGGGATCCCCAGCTACACCAGTTCTCCTGACAAAAACGCCTACCAAGCTTTTTGAGATGTCACAGACAAGTGTGCCAAGCTTTTTGAGATGTCACAGATAAGACATTTTGCTTACGCCAACTTCCACTTGTTCAGAAGTGGGAAGGGTGGGGGGCTGAAATTTTAGAATGTTCCGTACCCGCGTACGAACTCGAGACTTTAAAAACAGCCTTCACGTATGCCTCAGTCCACATACGGGCATTCAAATATTTTGCTGCGAGCTAGAATTTTATAAAATGTCCCTTTCCCACACATGGCTCGGTAAAACTCAAACTCAGCTTTTCCACATACCCGGATCTCAGGTAGACATACGTGAAATTTTTGGGCACCAAAATTAATAACTTGGGGACCGTGAAAGCCGGGGAGCTGAATTTCCAGAATAGCGCTCCTGTATAAATTCAACTCCTGTGCAAGCCTAACTCTCACGAATGGGTACGCGAAAGTTTTGGCGGCAAGACTAATAACTCAGTAACCACAGAAACCAGGAGGCCGGAATTTTAGAATAATGCATTCTGACCGCGTATGACCCAGAAAAGTTAAATTCATCCCTCAGTTGCGCCTAGGTCTCGCGTGCGGGCACGTGAAAGTTTTGACGCGAAAATCATTAACTCGAAAAGTTAGGAAGCTGAAAAGTCAAGAGAAAATCCCTGCCGGCATAATGACTCCACAAACTCAAATTCAGCCCTCTTCCCCGTGCATTCTTAGATCTCACGCAGGGAAATTTCTGGCGCTAAAATCAAAAAATTAAAGATTAGGAAACAGAAAAGCTAGGAAGCCGAAATTTCGGAATAATGCTCCTGCCCGCTTAAAAATTCAGTCGCTGCGCACGCCTAAGTCTCAGCTATGGACATGCGGAAGTTTTGGCGGCAAAACTGACATGTAACGTATTCAGACTGTAATTTATTATGGGGTTTTTCATATATGCGAGTGCAAAAACGCATATTAACATCTGGGTTCCCCTGAACAGAGTTGCATAAGCGCCAGCTATACAGGGTTGCAAACGCGTATGCCGGAAAAAAATGCACAGGCTTTCGCTGGACAGGGTTGCACAAAACGCAAGATCGCACCGTGCCACTATTAATTATGC